CGACTGATCTGTCTCGCCCGGGAAGAGCGCAATGATGGTGCCAACTTGGGCCAGTGAAGCAACGTCCTCCACAACTAGACTGAAGAACAAAAGGACAGAACTTGTCTGTTCCCCTTCCCCCAATTCCTCAGTGCTATTCCCATCCCCCAAATTCCCCAATTAAAAAAAAAAGAAAACGATAGAAAAAAGAGCAATAGAAGTTCTGTACAAAAAATAGAGAAGCAAACATCCATAATGCCACCAGCACAGGTGACAAATGTTAATATATTGTAGTAGTTGAAACACACCTTCCTCAGCCTTGGATCTTCTTGTGTGTTCCTGTGGGATGTTGCTGTTGTTCCGTATCATTGTAGCAGCACTATCAGAACAGAGTGATATAATGGGAATAACATGGACTCTGTCTTCTTCCTCACCCCAATGGGAATACTACTTCTCCACAGGATCTAGTGAGACACTTTAAATTTGATGTGCCCTGAGATAAAAGTCTCCTTTTATTTCTAGTTTACTGAAAATTCATTTTTTCAGTAATTGATGTTGAATGTTATCAATGGCCTTTTCAGCATCTCTTAATATTCTAGAGTTTTACCATTTGGTGTAGTAAATTAAATTTCTTGACATTGATCCCTTCAATAAACTCAGTTTGATGATTTTGAACACTTCTGGACTTAATTGCTGCTTTTTTTCCTTAGGTTTTTAAACCTATTTTCACAGAAGAATATCATGTCGGTTCCTTTTCAATGCTGATTCTTGAAGCTTACTTTTTTTCCTGCTCTCATATTACCATCTTGAAAATGGTATAGAAAGGTTTCTAACATTGTCTGTGTTTACAAATACTTAAAAATGAGTAAGAAATAAAAAAATTAAGAGTTGAAGAATCTGGACCATACATATTTTGGGAGAAGAGTTCTTTCGAAACTTTCATTTCTTATACTGTCATTTATTACAGGTTTCATATTTCTTTCTGAGTCCAGTTTGGCTATTCACAATTTCCAAGAAAATCATTCACTTCATTAAGGTTTTCCAATATTCTCATGGACTTTATACAGTATTTCCCATAAAAAAACAACATTCATTGATTATATTCCCTTTATATTTTCTAATATGTGTATTTTTTCTCATTTCCCATTATCTTGCCAGAGGTTTATCTATTTCTGTTGTTTAATCGAAGTACAAGATCTTGGATTTAATTTTCATTTCTTTTCTTTCTGCTTTGTGATTCATCAATCCTATCTACATTTATTAAGTCCTTATCCTGTTGTCATTATAGCAGTTTTCTTGTTCTTTTTATAACTCTTGAGCTGGCTAATAGGCTTATTTATTTTTAATCTTTCTCAGTTAATAATGAAAATATCTGGCTATGAATTTTCCGTGCACTACTTTTCTGGCACATGACATAAGAAGTATAAATGCACGGTAATCTCATTCTTCTTTTCTAAATAGTCTATAATTACACTTTTAATTTTTCTATATTCCAGCATTTGCCTAGAAAAGTATTTGATAATCGCAAAAGAAACAGCAGCCCAAAATGGAATAATTAAAAATATCAACTTTCGGGCCGGTCGAGTGGCGCGATGGTTAAGAACTGGCTTGGGACGCCAGAGGGCCCCGGTTCGGATCCCACATATGAGGGCCAGTGACACTGCCCTCCACAGCTAAGATGCTGAACAACAGCTCAACCTGGAGCTGGGCTGCCGTGAGTCGCCGGCGACGGCGTAGGCTGCAGCCCCTGTGGCAGTGGGTTGCCATGGGCTACCGTGTGTAGCCAGCAGCCAGCGTGAGCGGCCAGCAGCCGCAGTGAGCGGCCAGCAGCCGCAGTGAGCAGCCGTCCAGAAGCCGGCGACTGATCTGCCTCACCCGGGAAGAGCGCAATGATGGTGCCAGCTTGGGCCAGTGAAGCAACGTCCTCCACAACTAGACTGAAGAACAAAAAACGACAGCAACTTGTCTGTTCCTCTTCCCGCAATTCCTCAGCGCTGTTCCCATCCCCCAATTCCCCAATAAAAATCTAAAAAAAAAAATCAACTTTCATAGGTCCTGTCAGGTGAATAGAAAGAGAAAAAAGTATAACTATAAAGACACTGACTTAAACTATGAAGACTCTTACAAGGTATGGATCACTTCAAACATGCTAAAAATGATTTCATGAAGAGTTTGATAGCCCAATAAAATAGCTGGAACACAGAACTAGATACTCATATGTTCTTGCCTCTTAACAAACTCTTCACTTTCTTACGCTTTTCAAAATCTTGCACAAACTTAGTCTTTATTTTCATGCACAATTTTAAGTATTAAACCTCCAGAGAATATCAAACTTGCTTCATACAATGCTCATTTCAGCAATTCCATATACAGGAGCTTAATAACTTATTAGTAGCAGACGTAATGCCAAATAAAGCAGTTTCAATCGCTCTGAATATGTTAGTATTGACTTCCATTGTTCAGAGTTTAGGGAACGTAAATAAAAGGTTGAGATTACTGTTGCCATTAGCAATGCACAAGGCAGGAAGTCTCCTGACACAGGAAGAAGAAATTGATTTCTCCATGTTTTTTCATACTACACAACACTATTGAAAAGCAGTTTCTCGGCACATAAGTATTGATCTACTGCTCTGCAGGTAAATAAAATATGAGATCACATGAAAAGAAAACATGTGAGTCATTCTTTTTAGTCATCCTTTTAAAGTTCATCAGAGCTGTAGAAGCATGTGGGGATATGTACACTCCATTTATCTTCAACAAAACAAGAAGTAGGGAGAATCAATGTTGCTTTTAAGTTTTAACCCTGCTTATTGTCACAAACAGGGCATTTCATAAAACCTAAAACTAATAAACTGTGTGACCACTTCAAATGTAACTTTACTCTGTACATTTTTAATGGATTTGGGGAAATGTATCTAGCTGCAACACATTAAAAGAAATCAAACCTTTAATAGCTGAACATGTAAATTTTTATAAGATAAAAACCTTGCACTTTTTAAACTAATGGCTCCACTCGATCATTTTCTAGAATAAAAGCTGTAGAATTTTTAATAAATCTGATACTTCATCATTTAAGCTGAAATGAAATTGACATACTATAAAATAAACAATATCAGGATGTTTATAGCTATTAGTCTAATATTTTCAGTATAATGAGGAGGTAAAAATTATTTTACTCTGTTTAAATTGTCAGTAATTAGATGCATGGGAAGATAAAGTATATTTGTCTATTGTAAATACTACTATACTTTAAATCAGTGGTTCTCAATGCAGGGTGTGGGAGGTGTCCTCCAGAAGACATTTTGGCAATGTCTGGAGACATTTTCTGTTGTCACAAATGGGGGGGTTGGGGAGGTGCGGCTACTGGGTAGAGGCCAGGGATGCTGCTGAACCTCCCATAAACTTTAGAAACATCATTTAAGCCTTTATCTGGTACCCTTTTTCTCCTTGCATTTGGGTAAATAACTCACAAAAGGCAGAACAGGAGACAAAAGGGAACCGGTGTGTGTGTGTGTGTAAAATCGAGTGTACAATGAGATTTTAACATCATTTGTTCCATATTCTGAAATTATTAAAATAAACTAATTTCT